GCCAAACCTACAACAGCAACAAATAGGCACTGAGAACTTAAATGATTCAAAAATAATTTTAAATAAAAACAAATTGTTTGTATAAAGTACACTATGTTAGCTGCAGAAAAATGTTAAACCTCTTTAAATATGCCCAATGTACAGTAGGGTTTTTAAAACTGGCATCTTTTGTTTTTGTTTATTCTGGTGCTGTCCCATAGATCCTGGTTGGGCAGTGCATGCATCATGGTGCAATGGGCTAATATTAATAGAAATTTTAAATAATTTTGCAGGCTGAATAGGATTGTGCCATGGGCCTGATTTGGCCTGCGGGCTTTGTGTTTGACATATGGGACATACATTTTCCTATTCAGCCTACAGCAGTTTAGCTCCGCCCATTCACACTGAGGTTATAAGGAGTGTTTCAGCCCAGACTGCTTTATGAATGAGGCACAGTACATGAGAGCACAAGGCTGGGGTCTCAAACTCAGATTATCTGGGGGCCATTAGCCAAGTGTTTTTTCCAAGGGGGCCAATTGACGCAGAATATATATGTGTGTGTGTGTGTGTGTGTGTGTATATATATATATATGTGTGTGTATGTATGTGTGTGTGTGTGTGTGTGTGTGTGTGTGTGTATGTATGTATGTAATATACACTCCAAGTGTGACTTTTAATCACATATGCACTCATTTAAGTGTGTCTTAGCCAATGTTTATTAGAAATTATTCTCACCACTACTAGTACTTAGTGTTTAAAAAATAACAAGTGTAATAATAAGTGTTAAAGTAAATCATTACTTTTAACATTTATCAGTAGAACTATATGGGACTCTTATTGTGACAGCATCTTTGCTACTGCAGAATGCAGGTTACTGTGACTGAGGGGTTGTCAGAAAGGAAAAAAGGTGATCTCAGTGGATTTCTTTGATTATTCTGTGTAAAGTTCCTAAGTTAGTCTGACTTTGAACCAGTTCAATAGAATGATCCGTATATGAGGTCTTCTTGCGACAGTGATGATCCAGTAGGGTTGGACCACCCTGTGCTCTCAGTGTGAGCTGAGTAGCTGATGGAGGTGCTACATGTGGAGGTGTGGTGAGAACTTGGCACATCCTGCTCACATGCACAGCGCTGACCACAGGGCTGGCCTGGCCAGGCCTAACAGGACGCAAGTCGCAAGAAACCGTCAAATAGCGGGGGCACCTGCTTCCTGACCTGACCGAGAGGAGTTCAGGGTGCAGCAATTCAGAAGATTTTAGATTTAAAAGGAATGCTGCACTTTCAGACTTGAAGCTCTGTCTGTGTCATACAGTCAGTTACAGTGGACTGTAACTTCAGTTCATTTCTCTTTAAGAACAAAAGACCCTTTTACTCAAAGGATATTTATAATAAAAACTAAAATAGGCAGTTGCTTCATATATATATATATATATATATATATATATATATATATATGTGTGTGTATGTATATATATATGTGTGTGTGTATGTATGTATATATTTATATATTAGCACGGGAAGGGTGTTCTTAGGCATGACGCAGCTTATTGCTATTATATATAAAAAAAAAACATATAATAATCACAAAATAATTTAGGTTCTTATTAATAATAATCAACATAAACAAGTAATGTAGTTCCTTTAGGGTGTGGTATCACTGTCGGGCAACCATGGACTGAATGAGGAGAGCGTTTGACCCTTCGCTGTATATTGCAGTGATTTCATGCTTTTTTAAAAGTCTTTTTGTCCCATAACAGTGAACACATAATAACGCAGCACTGTTTACTGCAAAAACTTTTGGTTTATAAGTAATGTTTGGTCACCAAATTACCACCGCGAGTCTTATTTAGCCCTAAACCATTGGCACCCTCTTCTCATGCTGGGGCTGAATCTCAAATGGCTCCCTGCTCCCTACATAGTGCCCTACGTAGGAATTTATACTGGATCCAGTGGCCCAACAGAGCAAACTATTGCTAATAAATAGTCATTTGGGACTCCACACTCGATACATGATGCACTATTTGGCTGTAGAGGCTAGAATTTCTGAACTTTCATAGCTAGCATACTGTTTAGGGAGTACAGAGCTGTTTGGGATTCAGCCTGGGTTTGATGTGACTTCTGACTGGAGCACGGACATTTGAAGTGTGTAATCCATTCAAGTTACATTGTTTAGACTTTTATACTGCCGCTTCACAGTTAATCATCCCGTAAGTGCTTTAATTCAAGTGTGTGACTTTAATGATGGTGTTGTTTAGGCTGTTTGCTATCTTTTAGCCTGTTAGCTAGCTGACCAGCCTAGTTCTGTTTAAGAACATAAGTTGCCCCTCAGTTTAAACACAAAATGGGTTCTTACTTTATCAATATACCCAGTCGGTCCATGTGAGCAGCATGAGAGTCAAAGATTATTCCATTAACAGCACAAGGGTTTTTTTTTTTGTGCCGTGGTGCAGTGATGGTCAAGGTGGTCATAGGTGTGCATATATCATGGATTTTAGTATGGCTTTGAGTGCTGCTCAGCCAATCAGATTTTAGGACCGGATATATATAAATATATTTTTTTTTGGTGCACCATTAGAAAACTACAGCTGGACTTTATATTATGTGGTGAATGAATCAATAGAAATGTTCTAACATTAATAAAATTACATTAAAGTACATTTTTTGTTTCTAACATAACATTATCACCTAAAATAAGCCTTTGCTTTTAAATAACGCCAGACTTTCGCTAAGTGTCCGGAACATTTGTATAGTGTTAGCTGCGCTGGACATTCTTTGTGTCAGGACGGTAATTGGAGACAGAATGTTTGACACTCAGCGTCCAGCTTTACTGCTGCTGTCCCTTTCTCAGCCTCACTGCTTTCACTCCGACTCAGGGAAGAAAAACACAACTCCACCAGCATCGTACGTTTTGTTTATCGCTTAAAAATACCGCACATCTGGTTTAGTCTTGTCTGGAAGGAGCTGGGGACGCAAATAAAAACCCAAACGGTTCCTCCAGCGTGGGGTGACGCAGAAGAGACGTCCAGAGAAAGTCTGGAGGAGAGTTTGTTTACAAGTGGCCGGGAACATTTTTGGAAAGGTTGAGGAAGGAAGCCAAAATTGGGACCCAAATAAAGGAGAAAAATTGAGCCATGTGGGATCAGAGGGAGAGAGGGAGAGGGAGAGGGAGAGGGAGAGGGAGAGGGAGAGGGAGAGGGAGGGGGAGGGCGGTGGGAGGGGTAGAGGGGACTGAGTTGTTAAGAGGCAAACATGCAGGGGGGCGTGCAAGGGCAGCCCACAGGAAATGATCTCTCCATCCTGCTGTTAAATCTGACCGCCTGGCTCACCATCAAATGCTCCTCCATCCGAATACCATAGAGGCTCTGTCCCAGAGAGAAAGAGAGGGAGTCACCAGTGCCTGTCAGCAATTTACAGACATGGGGGGGGGGAGAAAGAGAAGGAGGGGAAAAAGGAAAAGAGAAGGAGGAGGAAGGAAAGAGTAAAAGATTGAGGAAAAAGAGAGAGAGCTGGCACTTTCCCTGCAGTTTACAGACAGAAAGAGAGAGAGAAAAGAAGGAAGAAAGGAATGAGAGGGAGAGACAGGGAGCAAAATGATAGCGATAGAGAGATAAGAGGGAGAGAGAGAGTGGGCGAATTGCCCAGCGTCTGTCTGCGCTTTACACAGACGGGTGGGTTCAGAGAGGCATCAACTTACTATTGAATACATAAATAATACATAAATGACTAATCATGTAAATAAATGATGATCTATTGTGATATTTATTGTTTTTTCCTTCCTTGTGTTTGTTTATTATTTATTTATTTAGCTTTGGCAGTTATGTAACAGTAACCTTTATTCCAATAAAGCACTGCAGAACTAGAGAGAGAGAGAGGGCTAAAAATGAAGGAGAAAGAAAGAGAGGGGAAGGAAGACAAAGAAAGACAGGAAGTGGGAGAATGAAAAAGAGAGAGAAAATAGGAAGGGAGAGAGAGAAAATTGGGAATTAGGAGGAAAGGAGGAGAGGAAAAGGGAGGGAGAAAAAGAGGGACAGCGAGAGTGAGGGAAATAGAGGGAGAGAGAAAGTGTTGAGAACGAGGGAGAAAAGAGAGGGAGAAGGTTGGGAGAGAGAGAGAGAGGGATAGAAAAAGGGATAGAGAGAGACTGTTAGGAATGAGTGAGAAAGAGTGGGAAAAGATTAAGCGAGAGAGGGGAAAAGAGGAAGAGTGAGAAAAAGGGAAGGAAGAGAGAGGGGATTGAAGGATAGAGAGAAAGTTAGACAGTGAGTCAAAACATGAACGTTATCTAACAAGAAAAGTCTCTAATAATCTGCTAAGTAATTAAGCTGGCTTGAAAAAGCCAACTTACTGTTCTTTATAATCTTCTTCTTCTTCTTCTTATTATTATTATTATTATTGTTATTATTATTATTATTATTATTATTATTATGTGGCAGTAAATTTAAGGAGGCACTGCATTTAAAGTAGCACTGAATTTAAGATGGTAGTGAATTTAAATAGCACTGAATTTAAGATGGTAGTGAATTTAAAGTATCAGTAAATTTAAGGTGGTAGTGAATTTGAGGTGGCACTGAATTTAAGGTGGAACTGCATTTAAGGTGGCTTTGTCTTTTAGGAACTCTGAATTAAAGGTGGAAGTGAATTTAAGGTGGAACTGCATTTAAGGTAGCAAGCAAGCAATACATTACCATCCACTTTGGATTCTGTAGCAACAGCCTAGCAACATTTTAGCAACACTTCAACAACCGTCAACAGTCCATATTAACGTACGTTTGTAACGTAATTAGCTGGCTTTTCCAAGCCAACTTAAAGTTCGTTCACAAAGTTTTCCCTCTCTAGTTTATTTTCTGTTCTTCATTTTTGTTCTTCTGCTTGTCTTTATTCTTAATCGGGTTGTGATGTAACATTGACTTTCACTCATTAATGTCTGTGAAGAGAGAGAGAGAGAGAGAGAGAGAGAGAGAGAGAGAGAGAGAGAGTGCTAGACACCTCCTCCTTACAGAGAGAACAACACGTCCCCCTGCCACAAACATGCACACTGGACCGGACACAGTGAGGCGGATCTAAACTCTCTCAGTCTGAGAGAAGACGCACTAATCCCAGCGTTTTGAGACAGACGCTGTGACTCTCCCTCCCTCCCTCTCCCTCTCTCTCTCTCTCTGTCTCTCTGGAGCGAGGGCAGCGGGTTGAAAAGAAGCGGCTATTAATAGCCCAGTGGCGGACGGAGGGATGAACGACAAAAGGAAGGCGAGAATGAAGTGAAAAAACTCTTTCTGAAAACTCTCCGTCCACCTTAAACCTCATTGAAACCCTGCCTGGACGCCAGCAATGGACTTTTTTCACCCTCTAGTCTGGACGCCAAGCTCAGACTAGAAAAGATTGCTCTGTTTTTGGACGTCCCACTTCGGCTGCCAGGTCTTTCCCCTTTGGCACAACTCCCTCTGGTGCTTTCTCGGTTTTCTTTTCATCCCGCTCTCTTTTTTTTGTCCTCCCCCACTTTATTGCACTCTTGCTACCATATTAGTGCCGAGACTGAGCTGTAGGAACTTTTACTGGATTTTCTCCGCGATGGAATGTCGTCTATTGGCTGCAGAAATTGAGGAGACCTCTCTTGTCCTGGGTGTTGAGTGTTGTCTGGCTCCACCAGCTCCGCTTTTGGACCACCAGTGGGAAAGATTGGGACATTTAAACCCGTTTCGGCCTCTCTAGAGCTTCACAAGCGCAGAAACCTCAGGATGAGACGCTTTAACAAGCTCAAAAAGACGTTCCCTTTCCTCGCACACTTCCATGTGTACAGAGTAAGTGTTTTTCTGGGCTGTGAAAGGTTTGCACATGCTGGCTCTTCACACATGCAGAGTTTCAGCAGAACATGTGGATGTACAGGCTGACCCTTCAGCAGTACATCAAACCATTTTGTATAAGTGCGGCCAAAGGAAAACTTATATCTCCAATCTTTGTTGTTTACGTATTTTTGACACTATATGAAAACGTAGGCTGTTCTTTACACTGTGGGAATGTTTCATGACAAATGGGCCAAAAAAACGGGCCAAAAATGTTTATTATCTGAAAGTATATCTACATATCGCTGCTGTCGGAACAAAACCTCGCATCTCTATTTTTATCGTTTTTCAGTTTTTGACATAATCTGAAAATGCCTGTTGCTCTTTACATTGTGTGTACATTTCATGATGATTAGACCAAAAGAAACGGCCCAAAATTACTCAGAAAAAAGTCTGGTTCCATTGACTTATATTAAAAGTAGTGTATGTTTTTTCTTTCTCCTGTAAAGTTGCCATTCTGGAGATAGAAGCTTTGGTTCCGACAGCAGCGATATGTTATGCAACAACATTGACGTTCTCCAGGCAGGTGTTTCTTTTCATCCTCATTACTGTACATTGTTCATGCCCGCAGTGTAACGCCTTGTTAAGTTTTATTAACACGGCTTAGTTGTAATTAATTTTGTCTCACTTGGCAAATAAAGGTGCCAGAAGGGTTCTTTGAGCATCCCTGACATAGAAGAACCATGATTGGTTGCACTTTTGGTGAAGAACCTTTTAATGGATGCTTCTTTGGATGCATAAATGATGTTTGAGTGTGAAGAATCTCTTTTAGGTTCAGGGGTTCCTCATGCTCTTAGGAAGTGTCTCCTTTAGAGTCTTGGTTCCCCTTAGTGGTTCCTCATGCTCTTAGGGAGTTTGTCCTTTTAGAGTGTTGGTTCCTCTCAGTGGTTCTTCATGCTCTCAGGGAGTTTCTCCTTTAGAGTCTTGGTTCCCCTCAGGTGTTCCTCATGCTCTTAGGGAGTTTCTCCTTTAGAGTCTTGGTTCCCCTCAGGTGTTCCTCATGCTCTTAGGGTGTTTCTCCTTTTGAATCTTTGTTTATGGATCCTCTACTTATTGTTAAGGTTCTATATCAAAGTTTTTCCTCCTAGAACTATACGTCTACTTGTCCTACTTATTAGCTAACTACACTGTCCATCACTCCACTATTGGTTCCTTGAAGAACCATGTTTGAAGGACGTTTTTGAGTGTGCAGAACCTTTTAAAGTCTTAAAGAACCTTCACATGATATAAATGTTCTGTACCTTTCTAGAACATTTACAAAACTAGTTCTCTAAAGAATCCTCCATTGAAAGAGTTCGTTAGCAAATCAAAATTGGTTCTTCTATGGCATTACACAAAGAACCCTTGAATGACTGCAGCCCATAAGAGAATGGGTTCCCCCTTTTGAATCCTAGTCCCTCAGTAGTTATTTTCTCATGTTCTTGTGGCATTTCTCATTAAGATTCTTGGTTCCTCTTAATGGTTCTTCCTCATGCTCTTAGGGAGTGTCTCCTTTTGCGTCTTGGTTCCCCTCAGTGGTTCCTCATGCTCTTAGGGAGTTTCTTCTTTAGAGTTATGGTTCCCCTCAGTGGTTCTTCATGCTCTTGGGGAGTTTTTCCTTTAGAGTCTTGATTCCTCTCAGTGGTTCCTTGTCATGCTCTTAGGGAGTTTCTCCTTTTGGGTCTCGATTCCCCTCAGTGGTTCCTCATGCTCTTAGTGCGTTTCTTTTGAGTTTTGTTCCCATCAGTGGTTCTTCATGCGCTTAGGGAGTTTTCTCCTTTAGAGTCTTGGTTCCCCTCAGTAGTTGCTTGTCATGCTCTTAGAGTTTCTTCTTTTCAATCTTGGTACCTTTAATTGGATCTTCATGCTCTTAGGGAGTTTTTTCTTTTGAATCTTGGTTCCTGTAATTGGTTCTTCATGCGCTTAGGAAGTTTTCATACCACTGTCTGCCTCAGTGACATTTATTTGGGAGTATTTATTGGTTGCTTGAAAATCTGTCTGATCGTAATGCTCTACATACTTGTCAGTATCAGCAAATATCCAAAATAATATATATATAAAAATATTGCTTTATTTTATCAAACACCTTTAGTGTGAGGAAGGTCTTATTTTGGATTCGAATGATGTTATTTTCTTATGCCACTCTGCAAAGAATGCAAATTCGGGGGTGGCTAACAGCTCACCTTTTATTACAGGCTGAAACCTAAGCTTTATCTTCAGGATGACATAATTACAGCTATAACTGAGTTGAATAAATTATGATAATTTACAGTAGTGACCGTCTTCATGTTTTAGTCCAGCTGTCGCACCTGTCATCGAATGTTCTTACTGTGTTTGTGTGGAGGGTGTAGCCACTCTTTGGGCCGTTCTCATGGCTTCTGTCCAAGAAATACACAAATTGCTCTCTTATTAGAGCCTTAGAGCATGTGGATTACTAATGCCGTTCACATTACCTCACAGTGCATGGTCATTTATTGGACTCTGCTTCTGCACAGCTGCCTCCGCTGTCCACTGCTACTTTCCCCAGCCACTGTGGTCATCATGTTCTGTGTAATTGGTGAACATCAGCTGGAGTTATTCTCCACAGGCTTGGGAAAAATAACACAATCGGGGCTGCATACATAACGTCATTTATGGGCAACAGTAGCTGATGTTTGTTGATGTTCGTGCTGTATTCTGCACCTGCTCAACTAACAGCAGATATAATTGCTCGTTTTAGCCTTAGAAGTCAAGTTAGGTAAATATTCAGTTTATTATGTAATTATTACATAACAATTACACTATAACTACATAACAATTACAATGTAATTTCATAATTTCTAGTTATGTAATGAATTACATTTACATTCGTTTTGTGTTCTGGCAAACTGTGACTGTCTGTGCTCTGATAGAGCTCGTCTCATCACCATTACTGCAAGTTACCCTGCAAGTGGATAAAAACCAAATAAAATAGACCAGAATGACCACTAAAGAGATTTAAAGACATGTAGATGCTTTAGATATAGTCTCCATGAAACGCTAGATTGGTGGATCTGTATAGCCTGCATATCTCCAGAGTTCAGAGCATTCCAGTGTGTGATATTTTATAAAAAATTAATAAAAGTGGTTAACAAAGCTGCCAAAGCTCTTAAATAATGAACTCAGACATGTATATCAAGCTGAAGTCAGCTTCTCATTCGCCAGCTTCTCATTTGACTCTTCTGTTCCACCTTAAATGGAGCTGCAGTGACACTGAGGCGCCTTAAACATAGAACATATTTCGAAAGCTGGCAAATATGAAGCTAACAATGACTTACCTCAATAAATGCACCAATGTAACCTCAATAAATGCACCAATTTACCTCATGAAAAGTGTGACGCAAACAGACGAATCAGACGCTTGCAGTACAAATCAAAAAGAGAAGCTTTATTGTCAAGGGCTTGGGCGAAACTCGTGATCGTAAAACAGGCAGAGGTCAAATCCAGAAAAATCCAAAGACAGAAAAGAAAAACCATAACAACCAGGCAACCAAATCCAAAGGGGCAGAGACAAGCAGACAAAGTTGAAAAATTCCAGGAAGACAAAACAGTAACAAGAAGGCAATCAGACAAAAAGCTTAGTAGCTCAAAGTAACTAGTCTAAAAGTCCAGGCTTTATACTAAATCTAACTAGACACATGACAGAACAGGTGTACAAGATTAGTATTCAGGAGCATGAGATCGATGGTTGGAGCGCTGAGAAGAGTCATCGGTCATGTGATCCCCTAGAAGGTTCTGGGAGATGGAGTTTGTGAGTGTCTCAGAGCCGGAGGGATGCGTGACAAAATGCACCAATTTACCTTAATTAATATATCAGTTTACCTCAATAAATGCACCAGTTTACCTCCATAAATGCACCAATGTACCTCAACAAATACGCCAATTTACCTCAATAAATGCACCAATTTACCCGTTAATACATCAGTTTACCCCAATAAATGCACCAGTTTACCTCCATAAATGCACCAGTTTACCTCCATAAATGCACCAATTACCTCCATAAATGCACCAATTTACCTCCATAAATGCACCAGTTTACCTCAATTACCGCAATTGTGACGTTATCGCAGTACTATCAATTGGCAGATTCAAGTCATCACTTCTAACTCTATCTGTTTGTTTTGATGCCAAAAAATGACAAACTTGGCAAAAATGTAAAGGATGTTGGTAACACTTTACTGTAGGCCAGTGTTCATAAGGCTACATGACACCTTCATAAGGTTGTCATGACCACTGACATAACCCCTATATAGATGTTTATAAATGCGTATTTCAGTTGGCGTCATCTGTCGTGAAGACTACTTTAGCTAACTTTGATCAAAATTGGCAAATGTAACCTTTTCTAGTGAATGATGCTTGTTGGAATAAGCGTTTATAAACATTTATGTCAGTTGTCATGACAAGTTTATGTTGGTGTCACTTAGCTCTATGAACAGTCCCCTTTAGTAGTAAAGTGTTACCAGGATGTTCTTTCTTTCTGCAGAAACAGGTCACGGCACCCAACAGTAACTTATCAAATTAAAATCATGATAAAATATCTCCCTCTTTTATCTAAACACACATGGTGTGGATTGAAAGTTTATAGTCTGCACTTTCTATACAATTTCTCTGCTTGTTTCACTGAGCTATGAGTGAGAAATCGTTCATGTCTAAATATAACATGGTAATAGTGATCACTAAGGCTTAACGGTGAGGCAGTGGAATTGAAGGACTTATAAAAAGTGATATAAGGTATTACTCCTTTAATTCAGCTGCACTGTCTGTTATTATCCGTACACTCACAGCTAATCAGCTGTGGTCTGTAAGGTTTAGTCATTAGGCCTTGGACGTGTGATCCGGATGTTTTGGTAACATTGCTGAGAGATAACGCTGCTCGTACGAGCCGCTCAGCCAGAGCATTCTGCACGTAGCTGCGGCTTAAGTAACACTGCGAGAGTGATTTCAGTCTGAAACTATGTCCT